GAGATTTGCTATCATTAAGATGGATGGATTAAACACTGGGGATCAAAAGCAGGTAACTTATATAGGTTTCACCAGTTCCCGAGATTTGCTATCATTAAGATGGATGGATTAAACACTGGGGATCAAAATCAGGTAATTTATATAGGTTTCACCAGTTCCCGAGATTTGCTATCATTAAGATGGATGGATTAAACACTGGGGATCAAAAGCAGGTAACTTATATAGGTTTCACCAGTTCCCGAGATTTGCTATCATTAAGTGAACTGTCGCTAAATGAACTCTATCATGAGTGAATGAATATGATTAACCTTCATTAGAACAAATTCGTGGAAAGTGTACGCATACATATCTTTTTGTATTGTCTATGGTTGAAAATTATACCAAGATTTCTACGAAGAAATGCTCCATTAAAGCATTGTGGCAAGTTATTAGGGTTAACAGATGATGAAGCTCAAAAAATAGGCTTATCGTCCAATCTTAAGAAGCCAAAGATGGAATATGCGTCGAATATGATAATATCTTTTCAGTCTTTCAGATACAAGATTTTATCCTCAAGGTGTTTCTTGGAACAAAATAATGAATTCGTTTAACAGAGAAATTAAGTAAGGTATTATATTATTTAATGTACTAATCAACACGTACCTTTCACTTTCAGTGATATTGATGATAAGTCTGTTAAGGACATAATTAAGTTTAACATTCACAAGAAGTATGATATGGTAAGTGCCAGAATACAACTATAGAATATTAGTTTAAATAACCTGTTTATAGATCTTGTTAAAAACGATTGATGTTCATTTTTTTTCAGATTATGGATGTGATTCGGAATGAAACGAGCGAGACAAATAAACTGATAGAGAATCTTCAGCCAAGTCAGGTGCTTCTGTAAGTACTTAGTACACTTAGCTTTTAATAAATTGTTTAATTGCTTTCCTCATTCAGAGAACGAAGTAAATGCTGATTCGTGTAGAAATTGTCCATTGCAACAGTTAATTAACCAAAATGAACATTCTAGTTGTTTAAAAGTGTTTAATTGTTTGTCACAGTCTTGTGGTTAGCGTGCTGTACGGCTGATTGAAAGATCCAAGGTTCGAGCTCGTGATATACCGCTAATCAAGTGGCAGTCAATCCAGTGTAACCAGCATGTCCTGCTAACTGGTTACCCTCTCTTTGATCAGTGGCCAAGTGGTTAGGGCGTTTGACTCGCAATCTGAGGGTCGCGGGCTCGAATTCCCGTCCCACCAAACACGCTCGCTCTTTCAGGCGTGGGGGCGTTTTATGTGACGGTCAATCCCGTTATTCGCTGGTAAAAGAGTAGCCCAAGATAGTTGGAGATGACTAGCTGCCTTCCCTCAAGTGTTTCACTACTAAATAAGGGACGGCTAGCACAGATAGCCATCTTGTAGCTTTGCGCGAAGTTCAAAACAAACCAAACTCTTTGATCAGCAGTTCTAAATGAGGGACGGCTATGCCCGAACTTTGTGTTTTCTGAGCCGGCTGTTCAGCTTACGTGCATGCGTATAAGATGCCGTTCTTGTTGAAAATACCCTACAGTTTAAAGTGATTAAGTTTAAATAATAATAGCTCAGAGAGTAAACTACTCTATAAATCGTTGTTCCACTCTAAGCTTACTTGTTTTAACCGACTTGTGAAGTCGCGTTACTTTAAACTTAAATGTCGAAATGCAGTTTAAAATGTATTTGGGTGATAATCGTTTCAGATAACAAATGTGGTTAATTATCTCATGAGTTTCTGATCACAGTTTCAAACAGTAATGAAATTTATAACTTGAATTTATATATTATCGTTTTAGCCATTGCAAAGACAACAAAACAGCGTTCAAAGCTTTGAATCTAGACGAAGTTTTAGATATCAGCGATGTTGTAAATTATGAGGTGAGTTTTTGTTTTTTATTTCACGTACTGTTTATTCAAAGACGAGCCAAGTGTCGCGTTGTGTGGCTTGACTTGCATTCCACAACAGCATACACCTTATAAATGTCTAATCAAAAACATCTTAGGTGTGAAAAAAGTGCAGCCAAAAAAGGATTGAGTGTGCGACTTAAAGAAATGAAAGTCGAAATTGGCGGCCAAACTTGTAGCTACACGTATAGAATTGGTAAGAATTGTACAGCAAATATTCATTCATTATTTAGGTTAAACTTTGGGCACGATGGTGGGTAAAACAAAATATACGCGATCTAGCTAAATGGACAGTGTTAATAACTTTCTTTATAGCAACGCCATGGAATCTAAATTAACATTTTCTTGTCATCACCCAAATGCACTCTGTAAAGGCATATCAAGCATCATTATTTATGTTAATTGCTTAAGCTAATGTCACGTTACGCCAAACGCTCTTTAATTTAAAAAAAAAATCATAAAATTTAGCAAATTTGTGCTTAAAAGCTGGTAATGAATAATAACCGTCCACCCGTATGATTTTTTTGAAAACATGAACTAGAAATCGCTAATCTACTTTGCTTGGCCTAACCAATACTTATGTATCTATCTTCACGCACGTGCTCTCACCCTATAGGTTTGCTGCTCTAAGTCAACTGTCTTTAATCCGAATGACAGTCTTGAGTTATATGTTATATCACAAATATATGTTATATCTAGGTTCACCAAACAGACTACTGGACTACATGACATTAACCTTGGGTGTTTGTAGCTGTATAGAGGATGTTGAGGTACTTCAGAATGACTTGAAACTGAACAATGAAATAACTTGCAAATGACCTTTGATTATAGTAACTGCAAAGTAATACATACAAGGTAATTATTTGGATCACATAATTAATATAAATGGAAACCCACTAAATATCACGAATAAGGAAACGATCTTGGCACAGTGGTAGCTAAGTCAAGCCACTGAGGCAATGCTATGTTGCTAATAGTAAAGTCCAGTTTTGCTCTTAGGTGAATTTGTAGTAAATATTTTAGATCGATAGCTCACGTGACTTTCTGCCTAGGCATGCGCAAAAATTTTGCTCAAAACTGTGCGATTATTGTTGAATAACTTTACACATGTGGCTTATATTTAAATCAAATTCGACATCTAATTGTAGGCTGTAAAGATCTATCAGTGTTCCAGATTTGAAAAAATCCGTAAAAATTACGTACGTTTTTCTATCAAATAAAGTTTCCGTACTTTCGGGCGAAGAAAAAATAGGAAGAACTTCAATCAAAATTGGAGATTTTATATATCTTGTATTTCTAAATGTATTGCCTTAAAATTTCGTATGTGAAGTAATGGTCCAGTAGAGCACATCCACTGAAAATATATGATAGTTTGGATTACCACAGTCCGAGCTATAAAAAGTGGAAAATCGCCTAAACTATCACTCCTGTTAACAACACACAGTGTGTCTTCATCTATAGAAAAACCTTAAGCACAGCACCAAATTAAACCTTTTAGCCAGAAATATATGAACTGTGACATAAACTACTAGGCAAAAACATTTAATGCAATATCGAGAAAGAAAGATTTTTCAAATTATTCTATTTCTGTTTTATTTTCTCTAGAAACACATAGGGTTGGAAAATATAGAAGAAAGGCTCAAAGAAATCATACAAGAACTCGAAATTTCATACGACTTTTCAGATATCCCAGGTTCCACGCTGAATATAGTAGACCTACCGATGCTGAAAGAAACGGTAATCTTCAATAAGTTTAAAACACATTATATCTTAACATCAGCTAATCTCTGACAGAATCTCTTTAAAACAAGGATTAAATATTAAGTGTATTAGTTTAGTACAGTTTTGTAGCTGTTACCAAATATGAGTATGTAGAATGCCTTACATTCGTAGATACCACTGGTAAGTTTAGTGTGGTTCTATAGTTGTTAACAAATATAAATACATAGCATGCCTTACATTCGTATATATCACTGGTTGGTTTAATGTGGTTTTATAACTGTTAACAAATATAAATATGTAGCAGGTCTTATATTCGTAGATTTCACTGGTAAGTTTAGTGTGGTTCTATAACTGTTAACAAATATAAATACATAGCATGCCTTACATTCGTATATATATCACTGGTTGGTTTAATGTGGTTTTATAACTGTTAACAAATATAAATATGTAGCAGGTCTTATATTCGTAGATTTCACTGGTTAGTTTTAGTGTGGTTCTATAACTGTTAACAAATATAATTGCGTAGCATGCCTTACATTCGTATATATATCACTGGTTGGTTTAATG